CGCAAATACACATGGACTCACGGTCTTATCCAGAGTTCAGATCCCAAAGCCAGAAAGAACCGTACACAGGAGATAGTTGTTTTGGCTCCGCCTTCCTCCGCGAAATAAAGGAGTTTGGCCCCGCCGTCTCGCCATAGTTTAGTGATCCGGCGCGCAGGCGTGCGGCCCGGTGGCCTCCTGTCGGAGGGGCGCTTGGAAACTACTATAGGAAAGCCGTGTAGACGGAGTGGGGCTCGTTTCCGTCCACCATGAAGTCCCGTTTCAGCACGGTCGATATCAGAGCGGTTATAGCAGAAGTGCGACACAGGTATGGCCTTCGGATGCCTTTCGAAGCCCCGCCCCGATGACTGCAGCCCCGCCCAATAATCCTCTTGGGACACGCCCCCTCCCACCCGGTAACTTCCAAGGAAGTGGTCCCTTATGCAGGCCGCCTTTCTAGCAGTTCCCGGTTTTTGATTGGTTGATGGCTGTTGGCGGAAGTCCGCTCTGTGCCCCATGGTTTCAGGCGCCCCTTCTCCGACTCTCAAGAGTTTGTTTGTATTCAGAGTTGCTAATTTGCTTAGTTTGGGAACTCTTACTTAAAATTAAGCAAATAATAGCGTTGATATAAGATCTCCTTCAATTTGAGCTTATTCCTGGTGATTTCATGGACATGTTCAAATAGTTTTTGTTGCGCTAATTTGGAAGTAGCTTGTCATCACCTTTCTTAGGCATGATTTGTCGACTACCCACCTAGCCCACAACCCTGGGATTTCCTTGTGGTCTCCCTTCCAAGTACTAATCGTGTCTGACCATGCTGCCATCTAACTGAATACAGGTAGTCCTCGACTTAAATCATTTAGTGACCGTTCAAAGCACCAAAAAAGTGACTTATGACCATTTTCACACTTATGACCGTTGCAGCATCCCTATGGTCATGTGATTTACATTCAGATGCTTGACAACTGATTCATATTTATGAAGGTTTTAATGTCCCCGGGTCATGTGATCATCTTTTGTGACCTGTCAAGCAAAGTCAATGGGAAGACAGATTCACTTAAGAACCATGTTACTAATTTAACAACTACAGTGACTCACTTAACAAATGTGGCAAGAAAAGTCATAAAATGGGGCAAAACTCATCTCAACTTGTCTTTTGTAATAATTTGCTAAAGAGTTTATTAAAAATTACTCTTTTTTTCTTTTTCATAATTTCATCAGAAATATATAGAATATATATTTTTTTTCTTTTCTTTTTACAGCTTGTTGGGAATGAGGGTAAACAATGTTTATGATGTGGATAATAAGACATACCTTATCCGATTCCAAAAGTAAGAACAACATTTATTTTTGTTTTCTTTTATGGTTATTTCTGTTGTTGGTGCTTATTTATTTTTCACATTTTTGAAGTCCCCATCTCCCTCAGTACATCTTTTGAGGACTTACGCACCAAGTGTCTTTTTTAAGCCAATGTACAATGTTTTTTTAAAATATAAAGATATTGCAAATTAAAAAGAAGTTTGAACAGCAGTACTTCAGCCTATATTTATGTCAGTGTTCAATATCTTAAAATTGGCAAATAAACATTCTATATCAATTTTTTTTTAAAAAAAATCAATGTTTAAACTAGCAGTTAAAAATAAATCACACATTTGACTTTTGAGAAAGCTTTAGCGAGACCTTTTTAAAGAAAATCTGCCAGAATGTCTATTATCTAGGGCTGTATCATACTGTATAATCTTTTAAAGACCTGAAAACTAATAATTTGATTGTGTGCCACTTTTGGGTGTTCATTCAAGTGACCAGCATATGCAAATTTTATAGATTAATATTACTTATGATTCAGTTGTGTAAATTAAGGTTTTGAATTTGGTGAAAAAAAACAAACGAAGTTTTGATAAGAGTTAACATTTATATATATTAGGATTCTAGAAACAAAATACAACTGTGGTATCAGTTAGATTTTTTTTTTTTTTTTGCATGTTGTCTTTTAGGCCGGACTTCAAGGCTACACTTCTTCTGGAATCTGGCATTAGGATTCACATGACAGAATTTGAGTGGCCAAAAAACATGATGCCATCTGGTTTTGCAATGAAAGTAAGTTGAGTTTCTTTAGTAATTGTTGATTTTCCTTTTGTAAGTATCAGTTTGCTTGGCAGAATTTGTTTTAGGGTTAATAACAACCAGATACATAGATGGTGTTTTGCAAGATTGATAACAGCAAGGCAGTTGTCTCTTCTCTGACTCAATTAGAAATTCTGCTAGTTTACTTCAACAGCAGAAGGATGAATACAGGTAGTCCTCGACTTACCACAGTTCATTTAGTGACTGTTCAAAGTTACAACGGGATTGAAAAACATGACTTACGACTGTTTTTCATACTTATGACTTTTGCAGCATCCCTGTGGTCATGTGATCAAAATTCACATGTTTGGCAACTGGCTCATATTTATGACGGTTGCAGTGATCTGGGGTCACTGACAAGCAAAGTCAGTGGGGAAGCCAGATTCACTTAACAACCGTGTTACTAACATAACAATTTCAGTGATTCACTTAACAACTGTGGCAAGAAAAGATGTAAAATAGGGCAAAACTAACTTTAACGAATATTTCACGTAAGAACAAAAATGTTGGGCTCAATTGTGGTCATAAGTCGAGGACTACCTGTAATTCCATTTAGTTCAATAAAGTTTAGTTGAGTACATTTGTTTACAAATACATTCAAATAAAACATTGTTTGTGGTCTCATCATCCTAATAATAATTTCTAACTACACAAAATATGAACTCATTAAAAATGTCCTATTCTGATTCAGCATCTATTCTGTTACTCAGTCTCTGGATTAAGGCAGGGAAGGATCTTTTCCATCGTTATTATTTCATCATTTTGTCTGTACATGTCAGAGATTGAATCTGGGGCCTTCAAAATGCAAAGTATATGCACAGCTGCTGAACTGCGCACTTTCCCTGAGTATAACTTCAATAAGAGAGTATTAACATTCTTTCTTAAAATGAACTGAGTTCATTTTAATGAACTGGCCATCTGAGTTCATAGCTGAGTTCAGGCCATTCCATTTCCTAGAGCAGTGGTTCTCAACCTTTTTAATGCCGCGACCCCAACCGGTCGTAAGTCGAGGACTAAACCGGTCGTAAGTCGAGGACTAAACCGGTCGTAAGTCGAGGACTTTCCCTGCCCGGGAGCACAGCGCATGCGTGGTTCCGCCCCCTGCGCCGGCCGAGGCGTAGCTGGCAAGCGGCAGAGACGGAGCAGGCCGACCACCAGCTGGCCCAGCCCAAGGGAGGTAAGGCACCCGCCAGAAAAGGGGGGAAAAATGGCAGACAAAAAAAATGGCGGACAAAAAAAATGGTGGACAGCCTTGCTTGGCGACCCCCATGAAATGGTCGATCGACCCCAAATGGGGTCCCGACCCACAGGTTGAGAACCACTGTCCTAGAGTATGGGTGGACAATGTGTGGCCCTCTGCAGATAGTTATTTCCAGCTTTTATCAGTTGTAGCCAGCATGACCAATGTTGAAGGAAGATGGGAGTTACAATATCTGTATTCCAAACTTGCCCTGTATTACAGAGAATTTGACGTACTTTCTAGCCATTATACTATGCTGGCTTCCCATTGTCAAATGCAACAAGAGTCTTTCATATTAATATGACAGACACTTAACAACCATTTTATTTTATTTAGTAACAAACACACTATTTTCCTCATCCAAGGGCAGCAGGATAATTTGTGGCTGAGCTATAATTCATCCAAAGCATTTCAGTGAAAATTGAAGTTTTGTAATAAAAAGTAGATAAGGATAAAATAATGAAATTCAATCTTCTTTTACTGAAACTTTTGTGAAAAACTGTATATATGTACATATGTACATATGTGCATGAGATACACATACAAACAATTTTTCCTTTTCTTTTTTTCTGGTTAATTAATGGCAAAAACAAATCCCAGTATACTATTTACTCCATACCATGTTAGAACAGTTTTGAAATATTCCAGGATCCTAAATGTATGTTCTTATATTCTTATTATATGGAAAGGTTGCCAACTCTGTTTTGATTGAATGCACATAACTCGGTTGTTGTTTTCAGACTTCTTTGTTCTCTTTTCATCAACAGTGTCGCAAACATTTAAAGACCAGAAGGCTTGTGAGTGTGAAGCAACTTGGCATTGACAGAATAGTCGATTTTCAGTTTGGGAGTGATGAAGCAGCCTATCATTTGATTATAGAGCTTTATGACAGAGTAAGTAGAGAAAGAATGTCTGAGACAGGGGCCTGGAGACGGCCTACGGTCTCTTTCCCCCACATGCCTTCCTAAAAAAAGGGGAGGGGTATAATATTTTGGAAATGTTCCAGAAGTTTTACCTGAACATCCCCTCTAGCTTGCGCATGGGAAAATACATAGATCAAAATCTGAGCTTCTGTGGAAAAAGGTCCAGGTCTGCATTTTAATGACAAACTTATAAATTTGTTGCAGGGCAATATTGTTCTTACTGACCACGAGTACCTTATTTTGAATATCCTGAGATTTCGCACAGATGATGCAGATGATGTCAAGTTTGCAGTCCGGGAACATTATCCAGTTGATCATGTCAAAACTGCAACATCATTACCCAGTTTAGAAAGGTATTATTATATTTTATACAGAGCTTACAATTGGGACAAAATCAAGCTATAAGAGATAAGCATAAATTACATGTTTTAAGAGACCTAGTAGCTGGAGGTAGGAAATTTTTGCTTACATCTTTTTTTCTCATTTTGCATTTTTTATTGTATAGTATTAAAGGTTTTTGTAGTACTTCTAATTTTATTATAAAAAAATCTTTGCCTCCAGAAATTTGTATTTGGAATGCGTTAATGAGTATTTTGATAAAATAATGTACATTTTCAAAAGGGTATTTCAAAGGCTTTTGGCCCCCACCCCAAAAGTAAAGATGCCCTCATGCTTTGCAGTGAGAGAAATAGTATGTAGTAGTATGAAGTAGTGTGTAATACTTAGTTCTCCTGGGATTTTTTTTCATCCAAAGTTTTATTAGCTCATATTACAACAAGGAAAGCAAATATTTTAAAGAACACAGAATGAAACTACTTCTGAATTAAGCATTTTGGGCTATATTAAAGATTAACAGTGGAATCCATTGTATGTATGCGTTGGAGTCTGCTTTATTAGATCCATGAACAGTGGAATCCATATGTATGCGTTGGAGTCTGCTTTATTAGATCCATGAAGTAACAGTATTTGTCTTGAAGCTGTATTTTACAATAGTAGTTGTATGGGAAGTTATTTTTGATATAAAAATAATAATTATATAATCTTATATAAATAATACCTGTACATTATCTAGATTTGGATATAATTTGAATAGTCTATTTTTTAATACAGTTGGTGCCTTCCGAGCAGAGAAAACATTCCTTGCTTAATTTTATTGTATATGTTACAGCAGTGGTGGTGAACCTATGGCACGGGTGCCAGAGGCGGCACTCAGAGCCCTCTCTGTGGGCACGCGTGCCGTCACCCCAGTCCTAGGCCTTCAGCTGGGTTTTATAAAACCTTTTCGCTTTAGGCTTCCGCTGTCATGTGCAAAAAAAAAAAAAAAGGTTCAATCAGTCAATTTCAACTTCTCATGGGAAAACAAAAGTTCTTGCAAAGTTGGAATTGATTGAACTTTTTAGTCCCACCCAGTCTGCCGTTACCACTGCAACCACGCCCACCCAATTGGCCACACCCAGCCAATGGGCCACACCCACCCGGTACTCGACGATGGATAAGTGGGTTTTGGGTTGCAGTTTGGGCACTCGGACTCTAAAAGGTTCGCCATCACTGTGTTACAGTATTTTATCAGAATTTATTCTTTTTTATTATTTCTTCACTCCTTTCATAGGTTAACAGAATTAATAACAAGTGCACCTAAAGGAGATCAACTAAAGAGAATCCTAAATCCCCACCTTCGTAAGTATGAATTTCTTCTGTGTCTTAGAAAATTACAAGGTGATTTGATCATACGTTATTTGGGGGAATGAAATAACAGATATGTATAAATCAAAATGTGCAATTCTATTTTGAGAATTCTCATTATAAACTTATCTTTAAAATAATAAAAACCATCCCTCTTAGAAAATAGCATTTCCACTAAATGATAGGGAAGAAGCCACACCTTTCTTCCTCAGATCTTAGCTATTTTTTTATAACTGTTATCTTCCTTTCCCTCCCCCCCCAAAAAAAATACAGCTTATGGGATCACTCTGATTGAACATTGCCTTATAGAAGCAGGACTTTCAGGCAGCATCAAAGTAGAGCAGATAGAAAGTAAAGGTAGGTATTGAAACGTCTGCATGTGTTATGTCTAGCATAATTTCCTGTGTACTATAATATTATGTAATAGTTATTTAAAAACTTGCTTCCCTTTTTTTTAAAAAATCTTGATCTTAGGGTTTATGCAATTTTGGGGGCATCCTGCTCTCTGACAGTCCAATATACAGAGGATATACTGTGCCACAACAATATGCCATTTTATACATCTTGGGTTTCAACACCTATTTCTTCTTCTAGATATTGAAAAGGTACTAGCCGCTTTACAAAAAGCTGAAGACTGCATGGAAGAAACTGAGAACTTTAATGCCAAGGTAGTTTATAATTTGGGGACAAATGCTTTGATTTTTATACCTGGCGCACTCAATGGATTTAAAGCATTTCTAGCTTTGTAGCAGCACAACAGCTAAGGGGAAGCTACACTTTGAGTCTTTCTAGTTAAGAACCAAGGCTGCCGAGGGTTCAGTTGGAAATACTATATCAAGAAAAGAAGCTGGGAAGTGAAGGTGAGGGAAATTTGGCCTTCAATACCACAGATGCTGGAACAAATATTATGCAGAGGAATTACATGTTGAGTTTTCTGTTGCTTCATGCCATTTCTTAATTCTTTTCCCAAAAAATTCTGGCTTTGTGCTTACTACCTTGAGGCCACATTTCTAATGTTTATTACATATTTCAGTACATATTCTCTGGATGCAAAGTGGCTAACAGAAAAAGAGAAAAAAAGAAAAACAAACTGTAAAACAGAACAGCAAAAAAATTCTCATTAATTGAACTAAAGACCTGCAGTGGCTAAAGAGGATACACGCTTATATTTTCAGCAGTAGAAAATAGATGTAATGCATAAGGATTTTCCTTTCCCTCCATCTTTTTAATAGGGCTACATCATCCAAAAAAGGGAGAAAAAACCAAGTCTGGAACCAAACAAGTCTCCTGAAGAAATCCTCACGTATGTATTTTGGGAGAAGTGGTTTTTGTGACTGTGTTCTGTCCTGGTGGTCAGCAAACACGCACTAATGCAAAACATTTCTTTCA